AATGGGTCTTATTCACTACAGCCAGGAATACAGAAGAAAAGCAAATCCATTTCTCTATTACAACGGACTACAGACCTGTAAACCTTAAGGCAGATCACAGAAAACCCTCCACACATGCACCTTTCTCACCTCTACAGACGCAATCTCCTCTCTTCAGCTGACCTTGCTGTCAGTGGCACCACAAGGTGGGAGAAAGGTCCTACCTAATCCAACGGGTTTAACCTCTTGAGGATGCACATGAACTCTATTCTTATCGCTTATTTCCAGGATCAGCAGAGGAAATTTACAAAAATGCAGAAACATAACGGTGACCTCCTCCATTTCTAAAAGAAGTAGAGGTTAGGCAGTCAAACTTTCCTTCTGTATAATCAACAGGAAAAGAATTGAGTTTTATGCCTCTAACAGGCTAAGAAACTGACAATATGCCCAGCAAAAAAACCGTGCAGCTGTGAGGGGGGAAAAACCCCACAACTGCTATTAGAAACAAAAACAAACCAAAAAAGAAGGTATCAACAGGCAAAAACATATAATGCCCTGCTTCACTTTTCTGTTTGGCAGTGAGGAAGGGGGAGGGGGGAGTGGGTGGAGGAAGATGGGAGGAAGGACGCCATTGGGGTTCAGACTTTTAATTTTTATTGTTTAATTTTTAATATCACCAAGTTCTTCCTTCTACATACCCTCCTGCAAAGATTGTAAAAACATTCATCACCATCTCCTTGTTATCTTCAGAAATGCTTGGAATACAGACAGATTTTTTTTAAAAAAGCAGCAGCTGCCACTTGGAAATTAGGCAATTTGCCTGGGGGCACATAGTTAACCCAGTGACTAACATACTCTCTGGCTGACTCCAGAATAAACCAGGCTCCTGACCCTGAGTCCCCCATTGTATATGGCCTTCCACTGGAATATCCAAGGCAGGAGAGCAACAACAGCTCAAGGAAGTAAGACTTGAATTTTTCATAAACCAGGCCCAGGCTACCCACACACACCTTGATTAAACCAAACTTCTTGGGCTCAGTACCATCCAGGGCTATCACAAAAGCATTACAATTTAGTAATAAACAAGAAAACAGGATTGTGAGAGAAGAGGCTGACTGAGGTCTGCAGGCCAAGCTCATCTAGGCCCTGGATTCAAAATGGGACACAACAATTACTTTGGCCCTCACTAAAAACAAGTTCCTGTTCCCTATCTCTTTCCCAAATCTTTGTATTTCCCCTCCTTATGCGTTCCTCCATTCTCCACAAACCCTATGAGAAAAATAATTCTACTACAGGACGCTCTTCCTGCATCGTTTTCTCCCTCTTTGCTTTTAAAACAATAAATTGGGCAATCAAGTCTTCTGCAAGAATGTGCCTTGTCCTTGTCATGAGAAAGGTTCAAGTACACACAGCCACCAGTCCAATTAGTGGAGAGAACTAGCCAGCATTACTCTTTCTCTGCAGCCCAGCTGCCCGGCCTTATCTGCTTCCCTCCTACAACTCCCTCGATGCTTTCCCAGTGCTTCTCCACGTCTGTGATGAGATAAAATCAACGTGAGCTGGGACCACAGCATAGTGTGATACTCGTTTCCCTGGAATCACATGCTAATATTCCAAGTTTGAAACTTGAAAAGAGATGCAATCAATTCTAAATGAAACCTGCAAATCATCTTTTTGATGACCTTAGAAATACACAAAAGCACGAAGCCTTCTTAAAAACTTTTACACAAAGTAGCCCTTTTAAGTTAATACACACAACAAATAATTATCTACTATGTTTCAGGCACAGCTATAGTGGGTTGTCGGAAAAGTCATGATGCATTATCGCAACGAAAAACAGAGAAAAAATACGTAATGACCTTTCCGATAACCCAATAGAAGGACTAGCCAAAGGAGGTATTTTAGGAGATTCAGATTATAATGAATTACACCACTTTTTAACTCAGTCACTTGTTTACTATCTGAGGACAAGCAAATCAAATATTGATAATGACTGCGGAAGAATCCAGACACTCATATAATAATCTTCCTTCCATTCTAGAATAAGAGGACTGGGGATAGGGTGGGGGTTTTTCTGTTCAGGGATGACAGTATCCTAAGTAACTCACAGGGATGTTCGTGTGGACATCAGAACAGGATGGGAACTTATAATCGCTATTAAGTACTATGGCTTCAATCAACTAGTTTCAGGAAAAGCATAGAAGAATGCAGTCAAATGACATACTCAGGTTTAGTCACTTGACCTGAAAAATTAGGGCTTTATCAGCTCCATCAAGCACTCAAAAAGTATTTGGGCTGCATTAGGTGGGTGCCATCCCAAATAATCAAATCTTTGATTTGCAAACAGGATGTGGCTTAATGATCCAAACAGAGAACTAGATTCATTCAACTGTCTAGAGCCTAAAATAATTCCATTTAACAGGTTTAACAACATGCAACACACGCCCTCCTATTGGCAGAAATATCTCTCAATGACCAAGACAGGTAGCAAATAAACACCTCCACAGACCATTTAGCGATTGGTGGGACTATGGCTAAATCTTGTAGGTGAATTCAGAATACAATAGGAACCTCAGTATTAGACTTATTTTTCAGAAAAGGAAAATATGAATTCCATTGAATTCCAGGATCAGATCAAAACCAGAAGTTGTGCTGTATTAAGGAAAACTCTGGCCCAGCGCCTACAAGGAAGTTACTCGGAGGAAGGGACAAAAAGCTGTTAGCTAAAATTTAACTGACATATGTTTTCTTTGCTAAAATCAGCCCCATAGAGAAATATACCCTGGTTTGGGCCTTGTTGATGTTGCTTTCCCCTCTGTCAATTCATCCGTTTGTTTTGCAGAAATAGGATTATAGCTTAAGTCATCTGAAAGCCTCCCCAGAGAACTGTGTTCCAAAGGGAAGGCTCCATGGGATGAACAACAGAGAAAGAAGTTATTCGTCCGTCTTTGGTTATGTTCACCCAAACCAGTTTCCATTCTCTTTCAATGGACAAGAATCCCTCAACCAACAGAGCAAATTCATTCACAGGAAGCTAATAAATTAAAATAAACATCTTATTTAGTTTCTTATCTGTCTCTAAATCTTTCACGAGGAATGTATAGCACCCCACTGTCACATAGCCACCCCATTTCTATTTTCGTAATTAAACTGTAGTCCTATAGCAATGGCAGTAAAGGCTTAATTTAGAAGCATAGGAATTATCCTAATTTTCAATAGTAGTAAACATTCTAATTATCTTTTGAGCATTTTATAATACATTGTGTCCTTTTGCTTTATATCCACCCCACCCCACCAACACCACCAACACCATCTCGCCCCAATTGGACTGCAAAGCTTGGGCTCTTATACTTGTAACCTCAGAGCACCCAGCACTGGGATAGGCACATACCAATTAGATGATAGATTTACTTTTTTTGCACAAGCCAGGCTCTAACTGTTCTATACCAAAATAAACATATTCTGAGCGTCAATCAGGCATAAGGTATTCTATTCTTTGTCATGAAGGATTCAGAGAAATATGTGATCTACCGCACACAAGAGCAGGCCTTTTGTCTTCCCAGCCTAACACATTTTACCACTTAAGAACTACCTTGCTGCTGAGACTCTCTGTCATTCTCTAAGTGCCATCTGTTCAATTAAGTGCTTTTGATTCTATATATTAAATGAGAACAATTGTGAAAGTAATTTAAGCAGTTGAAACATCATACAAACTGTTATCATATGGCCCAACCATAAACATGGCTTCCACTCATAAACACCTACACATCATAACCGGAGAACTAGATTCCAGATTTTCAAATAAACTCCACCAAGTAGAATTTTATTCCTTTGTGTTGCTGACTCTCCTCATCATTTTGCTTTGAAATAACAATCCTCAAACACAATTTTCTGCAGCTGCCTTAAAGAGCATTGCCAGCCCCTGCTAATTTGGATGAAACCAGTATCCCAAGCACTCTTGGCTTTTCATTTAATCCCACACGTCCCTCCCCACTCTCCAGCCCCCACCCTCATCACACACACCAGCCCAGCACTTTGAGCTCAGTCATAACCCTTTGTGCCTCCGCTCAAGCCTTTTATCCTTCTTGGAATACCCTTTCAGTCCTGGCCCATTCTATTCACCACCCCACTGTAAGTGGCTGCTCAAAACTCATTTCGTTATGGAAAGTGTTCTATGATTTCTCTCACAGTTTAAATATTTACTGAACACCCTTAGTGTCAGATACTTTCATGTAACTTGGCGTAAGTCAATACATTTCTCACGTTTTGTCTCCCCAGGTTTGGATGTCTGCTCTCTCTCATCTACCCAGCCCTGGTCACAGCTTCACTAGGACCCTGCGACACTTGAACACATTAAGAGGGATCACCTTAGAGGTCTACTGGCACAGTATTTTCATTAGTTAGAAATCCTGATTGAACTGCAGCCCTATAGCACGCATTTTGGGTTAAATATACCCGAAGGACAGGATTCCAGGTAAATCCTGGCGCCCGAAGTCAGCTCCGTGCAGTGTATGGCGGTCGGGGGCTAACCCCTGGGGAGGCTGAGACAGCAGCTGGAGTAAAAGGGCCCAGGGAAGTAGAGACAGAGGGTGGGGTAAAGCCAAACGAAGGGCGTCTCAGGAAGTCTGGGGAGTTGCCCCGGAGCCAGGAACAAGGCGGGGCACGCCCGGCCTACCTGTGCGGGCAGGACTGGGCCAAAACTCGGAACCGAAGAGCAGGTCACGGTAGCGGTGGAAAGCCTCGTCCAGGACGGAGCAGCCCGGCTGAGCTGCCGAACTGACGTGGTACTTGAATTGGAAGCTGTGCGGGGAGATGGTGTAGTGCCAGTAGGAGGTCTGGATGTACTGGGGCCAAGGCCACAGGGCCAGGGCTCGCCCAGCGAACGCTGCCGCCAGCAGCAGCGCAAACCAGAGCCCGGAGCCGGCCATGGCCCGCCGGTCTCCCACGTCCCAGTGGGCCGGCCCACGTGACCGCCTGGTCAGGTGAGCGACGCCCGCGTGACAACCGGCGTGTCACGTGACCCGGCGCGGCTCTAGGACCGCGACCCCGGAGCACAGACCTCCTGACCCGGCGTGAACCCGGGGCTCCTGCGGTGTGGGGTCGAGGGTGCGGGGCATCGGCGGTGGCTCCGGTGCAGGCCGCTCGCGGGCCTGGTGGCCCAGTAGCTAATGCACCTCGCAGAGGCCATGCCTGCCAGCACAGAGCTGTGAGCGCACCCTACTGTGGAAGCGCCTCGTTGGGAGCGGAAAAGTCCCCTGACAGGATTTCTAGGCTGAATCTTGAACGAGGAATAAGAGTTCGCCAGGCCTGACTGGGAGGTAAAGGACGCCCCAGGCCCGGGGACCTTCAGAAGCAGAAAAGAGGAGGATTAAAACCGCAGGCCGTTGTTATATGAAATGCTGTGGTGCAGAAAAGGGCTGGGAGTAGGTAGTCTGGCTCTTCTAGAGAGGGCATCACAAGATCACAAAAATGTGATCTACTTATGACTGGGGGGAAAAAAAGTGTACTTTCAGAGCAAGCTTAAGGTTTCCCAATTCCTGCTTCTGGTGTGCGCTATTCCCTTGATGGTTGATAATCTTCTAGTAACTGCCCCCCAAACCCTCGCCCCTGAGACAAAAACTTCACGAAATGGAGTATGTGCTTACTGCAAATAGACATTGGTTGGACTTGGAGTGCAAGATGGAGAATTCCCGGAGATAAGACTGAGGCTTGGTCCTGCAGGGGCTTACATATGAGCAGAAGTCCAAAGTCAGGACTTGATTCTGTGGGCTATTGAAAATCACCACAAATATTTGCGTTTTAGAAATCTCATGTTGAATAGATAAGAAACCAGTTAGGAGGCCCTTTTTTTTTTTATTGGATGTGGAAGATAATGAGAACTTGAACTACAGCAGTGGGGAAGGAAGACAGCTGTACATCCAGGAAACAGTGAGTATCCAGAAGCACAGGGGTTTATACAAGAGAGTCTTGAGGGCTGATCAATGAGACTCCACAGATACTTGAGACAGGGACCCTTTCTTCCTTGTTCACCACTGTGTTATCAGAAAGTAGTTGAACCCCTGACTGCAGAAGGAGAGAAAAATAATGCTGTTGTGCGGCATTATTTGGCTAGTAGGTAATTTTTTAAATCATAAAATTGCATTTTAGTATTAAGTGTGAAGATCAGGAAAACCAACTTTTTAAAATGAAAGCCTCTTAAAAATCATGGTAATTTATATTTAGGTACCTAATTTAATAGTTATATATACATGGTTTATAATGGGAAATCAGATAAACTTCATCTCTCACTTCTGTAATTTCCCTGGATTCATCAAATTTCTCTTAGAAGGTTGATTATGCTAGAATGGAGCTTGTAGCAAAAAAGTAGACATTAGATGTCAAAATCACAGTTTCAGATGCCAAGATTGCATATTTACACTAATCCATTAGCCAGTCAGGGAAGAAGAGCACAGGTGAAACGGAGGTGTGAAAGAAGATGGCATAATGAGCGTAGGGTTTATGGGACATCAAAAGGAGAGATGCCATGGTTATCTCACTTCTACCATAGTCCCTTCTCCCTGGAATGCTTTTCCCACCTCCACTTTCACTGCCACCTCGCTTCTCCTAGTTAACATCTACTTATCCTTTAGGTCTTAGCCCAAACCAGACCAACAAGTATGCTGGGAATGGAGTACAGGCGTGCTGAGACAGTGACCCCCTCAATCCTTAGGGTGGCCAGGCAGAGCCTGGGCAGCTAGACATCCTGGCCAGTCACCTCCAACCAAGAGCCATCTCCTAAATGTGCTGTGATGTAAGAAACTTTGAGAAGCATTTAGACATCACCTCCGTTTGAGTGCCTCTTCATAGCACCATCATTTAGCCTCTTGTCTTGTTCACGTCCCCCACAGACGACATGCTGAATGAATGGTTTCTTGTTTCACAGTTGTTGCCTTAGTGCCTGAGGCAGGACTCTGCACATAGTAAGAGTCCAACAAGTATTTGTTGAACGGATGCATGAATGAGGAAGCATTTGTATTACAATTTTAAAGACAGTCAGAATTTCAATGAGTGGAGGAAAAGAGCAGTCCATGGAGAAGGACAACAAATCAGAAGGAAACCTCCATCTAATTTGTTCACTTTAGGATCCACAGGTCCTAGAAGAGTGTCTGGCACACAGACAGTGAACCTTTTACAGTGAATAGAATGAAACATCATACGAACCTCAGCACAGATCTCTGAAGAATCTGGAGTTATACCAGGGAAGTGGGCGATTCTATTTGTCTAGAACCAACGGTGCATGAAGAGAAATGCTGATAAAAATCATGTTAATATCTCCCTTACCAAAAGAGCTGTTTAATTAAGGCTCTTGTCTGCTTATAAGTTTACATCTAAGTCAGATAATCTCATAGGAAAACATCAGAAATCCTATCCAGGGTTAGACTGTCAGTCCAGGGCCTCTGATGATGAGATTTTTAGACCAAAAAAGAGAAAATTTATACAGCTAGGACACTTATGTGTGTTTAAGGCCCTTTTAATAGGGACCCCTTTTGCTAAAACGACATCCTGCTTCAGACACCCTGATGGCTGCTCTGGAAGAGGATTAGCTTGGCTCTAGTCTGATCTCTTAGGCCTTCATGCCTATAGCCTTAGTGGTTATAAAGCCTCATGCTGGCCAAACCACAGAAATGATCTGAAACCCCTTAAAGGAGGTGGAACGCCTATGAAACCTTAACCTGTGTGTATGAGTAAGTCCTTTACAGAAAATCATTCAGACCCTGCATTATTGCACCTAGAATTCCCCAGTTGGCCCACAAAGATTTACCACTCACTCCTTGCCTTCCTCCCATTCTCCTCCTGCCTGGGTCTTCCATACTTCTTTTACTTCCTTGACTAATAGTGAGGCCTCCAGGGACACTAGAGCACAGATTCCTTCAGCTATTTTGTCCTTTGGCCATCTTAACATTTGGCTTCAGGAAACAGTGGCACATTACTGTGATACAGGTTTCCAAAATGTCCAGTTTCACTGGTGCTGCAGGTGGACCTCCTGGTGCTAAGAGCACCATTTAAAATGTTTTACTTCTGTTGGTAGCGCCTTTTAGATCTTTCTCTTGGATCCCTTTTCTTCATGTTGGGATTGACTATCCCTCTTACAATTTATTTCCCATGTGAGCATCAAAGAAAATGTCCTGAAGCTTCCTCCCACTTGGGAGAGGAGGCAGGAGGTGTCCAGAAGAAGCAGGGCTGGAGCAGGATGTAGTCTAGGCAGAAGGAGTCTCTGAGGCACCCAGGGTGGTGATGCCTAGCTCACTCCACAGAGTATTCATTCGAGGTCTGGGTCAAGACCTCAGCTATGAGGTGTTGTTACACAATATGGTGAATGTTTACATTTTTAAAAATATATTACAGTAGAAGACACACTGCCATTAATCCCCTTCAAAATACTCCCCCTCACTTCGAACATACTTGTCCCACCATTCTTGCCACTTTCTGAAGCCGTTCTGGAAGTCCTCTTTCATGAGTGTCTTTAGTTGTGCTGTTGTGGCTGCCTCAATTGTCCTGAATCATTTTGACTTTGGGGAAAAGCCAGAAGTCACATGGTGCCACCCCGTGAATAAGGTGGATGAGGATACACGTAATGTTTTTATTTGATAGAAATTGCCATACCAGAAATGATGTGTGATATGGAGTGTTGTCATGATGGAGGATGATTTACAGCACACTTTAAAACACACCTGCTCTCAACTGGAGCTCACACCTGACTGACTGCACTGAACAAGTTGAAACTTGTCACACACTGTAACTAAGGTTTGAAGCACCACTTCCTGTATTGAAGATCCCTGCCTTTCCGTTGGATGGCACTCAGCATCAGCATTTACCGTATTTTGTGATCACAATGGAAAGGCTCTGTGCCACACGTCGCTTCTGGTACGTGCTATTTGTAATGTATGTTTGAAAACTTTGTTTAATTCTCTATTGTAAACTTCTGCATGAACTAAAGCAACAACAACTCCCTCCCCTTAAAGGGGTACAAAAATCTAGGGGAAATTTTTGAGAACCATGAGCGTGTAGACCTAGATGTGATCTTAGAAATTATCTATAGTTCTTTCTCTCACTTAAAGTAAGAGAACTGAGAACCAGAGAAGTGAAGTGAGTTTCTCAAAAGCAAGAATAGGATATTATTCATTGTGATACTTCCAGCATCGAGCATAGTGCCAGGTACATAGTTGTTGCCTTACAGCCAATTCTTAGACCACCCCCTCTGCATTAGCCTCTGACCCATTAGTCGAGAGAGTGTCTCGGAAAACTGAGGCCGGATGGAATGATATCTGTAAAGCTCTGGGGGGGGGGCGTCTCCGTCTGACTGGGACCTGATGGAATGATATCAGCTGTCTCCCCTGGGAGGACATGTAATTATGTCCTGGGGCAATGTGGTGACATACGAAGGCATACCATTTGTTGGAGTACAATGGGGAAAAGGTTAATGGAAAAGGCCTTAAGGCACACAAGAACACACAAGAATACACGGTTAATGACTCACAGCATAGCAGTTTACTTCCTTGAAAATTATCAATAAAAACCATGCGTCCACCCGATTCGGGGCTCAGTCTAACTCTAAAGGCTGAGTCCCTTGGTCTCGCTCTTAAATCTTACTTTTGTCTCTTGTTCTTATTCAATCTGCGTCGCCCCTCTCATGTCCCATTTGCCCTTGCCACGCAGGACGTGACACATAGTGCGTGCTCGATAAATGCTTGTCAAATGACTAAATTCATTCTTTGCTACACATAGTACTGTGCTTTGCATGCAGTAGACACACCAATATATCTTGACATTGAAATTATTTAACCAGGTGTGACTATAGCCAGAGAGAGGTAAGGCTGGAAACAGACCACAGATGTGTGGCCTTCCTGACCAGGGGTTTCCCTGTCTCACGGGGTTGTGCCTCTGGACATGCCTGCAGTCATCTAGTCTCCTTGAGATAGATCATGGGTTTGATCATGGAGCCCAGTGGGCCTACATCTTGTTCTTAGCCCACTGACTTACTCTAGAAAGAAATGATCGCTGGATTTGAATGTGCATGGCTCACTTTCAATTAACTTTAGAGCTACAAAGAAGCAATGATGCAAATAATCTAAAAGTCACTGTGTTTGGCCACTGCTTTTCTCCCTTGGCAGTAGCTGACTAATCTTCCTAAAGAAATTTTTGTTAGGAGAATATTAAAATCCATTAACCTTCCTTGAGTCCACATCAGCCAGATAATGGCAGAAGGCCAGTAGAAGGATAAAGAATTGTTCAGAACCAACAAGTGAACAGACAGGTAATTATGAGGTAATTAGAGTACCAACCATAGAGACAAAGGTCAAAGAAACAGTGATCCTTCCCATCACTTTGAGTGGTGATATGTAATATAAGAATACTTCAGAAATTAAAAAGATCCTTCATGTTCTAGGTGCAAAAGGTTAACCACTTGATATTCTTGTCAGGCATATTTTAGTTGCTAGGAAGAGAATCCCAAGTAGCTTCAAGAGTGGAGAGCTTATCATCTTCACAAGCATCTAGACATAAGACGGTAATTACAGCCAGGGTCAAATGGGGAGGGATAGCTATCAGGAATCAAGGTTACACCTTAGTCTCTCATCCCCACCCCTGCATCCACTTCATTCTCTTGCTCTTCCTAATTTAGTTCCTTAGTATCCCAGTTTCAGATTCTCCAGAGAGAGAATGATTGATCCAGCTTAGAAGAGGTGCAAAAGGTGCTAGTGAGGCAATGGGTTCACTTACAAGGGAATATGTGGGCAGACAATGACTGCCATTTCTTTATTATAAAAGCAATACATATTGGATTTTAAAAAGTCAAAGAACACCATTTTGCACATAGAAGGTATGACGCTCAGTTCACAAACTTGGCTATACAGGAATTGCAACTTTGTTTTCCAGAATAATTTATTTTC